TGCTACATATATGTTCCGTTGATAATGTTTTTTCATGTACTGTACAAGATTCAAGTCCTCATCATATGGAGCTGCGCTGCAAGGCTTTGCTGATGCTCCGTTACAGTGTAAGAGAACTCCACCACACACGGATACGCTGGTGCTAAGGGTACCTCCTCTGACCATCTTTCTAGGATGGATAGTTCCAGTTGATGTGCACCGCAAAGTCCCATGCAGTTCCCCCAGCTTCTGGAGGTACTCCTCACCGAGACTGTAGATTGGATGGATGAGATGCGCTGGTCCGATGTGGCGGGAGCGCTCCACCACACATGCGAGAATGACTTCGTAATGATGAAAAGCGTGCGACAGGTGGTCCCAAAAATAGCTCCAACCACACCAGAAAGCCAAAGAAACTTTGCCACATCGACAGAAGAGTGCATTTCATTGGTTGGAACTCTCGAAAAGAATTTCTACTGCGTGGCTAGTGACGACGTGGCCAAGCTCTTGGGTTTTGGCAAATGGAGAACACTTTGAGGGGGCGACGCTCACACGAGTCCGCGATCGCAGAGATCATCGTAATCACATTCTCGCCCTCTCACTTGCCTGCATTATGATCCGCATTTCTTTGCTGGCCCTCATTCCTTCAGTGCTTGTTCTTCCATTCGTTCGTTGCTTCGCCTTGAGAACACCGCAGCTCCTCAGGCTGCTTGCTGCTGCCTGATTCCTTTGCCGACCATCAAGCAGGGAGTCCGCCTGGGAGGGAGATTTTGCGAGCGCATATCAGGGAATGACCTTCTCAAGCCAAACTCTCGGATCATAATAGTGAGACTCACCTCTCTTCGTAAAAAGCCTCTCTAGTAAAGCATCGCCAGATACCGTTCCCCACTCCAAGCTCTTATCTTCTCCGATACTTGTCTCACCATGAGTTGCGTAGCTGTTGCTGGCTGCTCGCTAAGAGCCTCCGTCCCGTCAAAGTCTTTTTCGGTGGGAACAGAATGCCGCGTGCACGCCGTACGAGAAGTGTCCCTCGTGCAGCGATCCAGGCGCCTCGTCACTTACGCCGTGGCTGAAATGCCTAAAACCAGATCGCCGCAGACCGCCAACGGATCTACATTGGACGAACCGACTCTCCTCGAAGACGAGAAAATAAAGATCGCAGCGGCTGTTGCGGAGAGCCTTCCAGCCGCCGCGTCGGCGGGTCTTTCAGAAACGGCGCTGGAGCGGAAGAGGCGGCGACAAAGCGAGCGATCCACGTACCAGCTGGCCGCGATAGCGTCAAGTGTGGGAGTCACGTTCCTCGCTGTCGGCGCCGTCTGGTACCGCTTCGTCTTCCAGACGCAGGTAAGCTGCACTCATAGCGCGATCAGGCGAAAATGGCTGAAGTATTGATAACCAACCATTTCACTCTCGTATATCAAAGTTAGAAACCAAAACCGCCCAAAGTCAATGGTTTTGCTCAAAAAAGTGTTTCTTTTATCATTAAGGATTAATATGCGGCTTCACTGGGTGCGTGCAGGGCGAGACGGTCCCCATAGAGGAGGTGGTGGGCACGGTGGCGCTCGTGATTGGCGCGGCCGTGGGGATGGAGTTCTGGGCGCGATGGGCGCACGACGCGCTGTGGCACGGATCCCTGTGGAGCATGCACAAGGTAACGGGGGCTCTTTGCTAACTGTGTACGGCAATAACGGCAATGCATGAGTTGGCATTAATCTTAAATCCAATGACAATCAGATCGCTCTGTGTGAGAGCCGGGCTGCCATCACTTGCTCGTTCAAAATGTTGGTCTGTTTCGCGTGGCACCACCCTCAGATCCCGCTTGACATTTTTGTTCCCGTCCGTGACGAGCCGAGCCAATGCCGAGCCTCGTGCGTGATCAGCTTGTTCATCTCGGCTAACCTCTTGCCTTCCCTCTCCCTTCTCCCCACCAGTCGCACCACGAGCCGCGGGAGGGCGCGTTCGAGCTGAACGACGTGTTCGCGATCATCAACGCCGTGCCCGCCATCGCGCTCATCGCCTACGGCTTCTTCAACCCGGGGCTCGTCCCCGGCCTCTGCTTCGGCGCCGTACGTTGCCGCACCTCGTAAACTCTTTCGCCTAGGCGCGCCGAACTGCCTTTTCTCCTTCTGCCTGCTTGCCCCTCGCACTCCTCCCGCCTTACGTACGACTTCTTCAACCGTCGACTCGTCCCCAGCGTCTGCTTCGGCGCCGTACGACGCAGCGCCTTTTTAACTTTTATCTTTCCGAGGCGCGTCTGTTTCCTTCTCTCGTTTACCCTGCTCCACCCTCGCTGCCCTCCCGGCTTGCCGACGGCTAATTCGCCCCGCACTATTTCCCGCCTCCGATGTGGCGCCGTTCAAAGCCACGCTCCACGTTCCACCTCCCTTCACCTTACGCTGGCGTCTGCCTTCGTCTCTCTTCCCGCTCCTCTGCCTTCCGTGCCCTCCGCCTTCCCACACGCTCTGCTCATGCCGTTCCCGTTCCGCGTCCCCTTCCCCTCCACCTTCCCCCCACAGGGCCTGGGCATCACCGTGTTTGGAATGGCCTACATGTTCGTGCACGACGAGCTCGTGTTTCAACGTGTCCTTGCCTCCCACCCTTTGTTCCTTATCGCTCCCCTCTTCCCTCCGTCTTCCCCCCACAGGGCCTGGGCATCACGGTGTTCGGAATGGCCTACATGTTCGTGCACGACGGGCTGGTGCACCGGAGATTCCCAGTGGGCCCCATTGCTGACGTCCCGTACCTCAAGCGAGTCGCTGCCGCCCACCAGGTATGCCTACCCTGCCCTGCCAGCATTGGTGCGCGCCTCTAAGGTAACACCAGCATTCCCAGTGGGTTCATCGCTGACGTCCCGTACTTGAAGCGAGTCGCTGCTGCCCACCAGGTATGCCTGCCCTGTCGGCATTGGTGTCTCTCCCCATCCATGCTCTTCGCTGTCGCTCCAACCCTTGGTAGGTTCGCTTGTTCGCTTGCTTTTTCCTTTCTCCTAGTATGGTCCCCCCCCCCTTGCACACTTTCCTCTCCATTCCTTTCCTCTCCACTCCTTTCCTCACCGGCTGCACCTCTCCCTTCTTTCACCGTTTGGGCTGTTCCTGGGCCCAAACGATCCAGAGAGTGGGCGGGCGAGTTCCCGTGACACAGTTGCTCCTGCTTAACCCCCTCCTTCATTGCACCCTTACCTCCTCTCCCTCGGCCTCCCCTCCCTGCCCTCACAGCTGCATCACGCTGACGAGCTCAATCACGTGCTGCCTGGGCTGTTCCTGGGAGAGGGTTGGGTGCACGAATGCCCTTGTTCCCCTGACCTTACCCTCTCCTTCTCTCCTTGCTCTCCCCCCTCACACCAGCGCTACACCATGCGGACAAGTTCAAGTGGGTGCCGTTTGGGCTGTTCCTGGGGCCGGGCGAGCTGGAGTGGATGGGGGGACGATATGCTTTGGCATTGTTCCCCTGACCAATCTCGCACTCTTACCACTTGTCTCTCCCCCTCCCCTCCCTGGTGTAACAGTTGCACCATGCGGACAAGTTCAAGGGGGTGCCGTTTGGGCTGTTCCTGGGGCCGGGCAAGCTGGGGCTGGTGGGCGGACGGGTGCCCTTGTTCCCCTGATCTTACTCTCTGCTTCCACCCCTCCCGCCCCCCTTCCCCCCACCAGCTGCACCACGCGGACAAGTTCAAGGGGGTGCCGTTTGGGCTGTTCCTGGGGCCGGGCGAGCTGGAGAGAGTGGGTGGATTGGCAGATCTAGAGGAGCTGCTGGCGGCGCGGCAAGGGGGCGAGGGGAAGAAGCAGTGAGGGCAACTCACAACTGGAGTGGGTGGGTGGGCTGCCCCATCTAGAGGAGCTGCTGTCGGCGCGCAGTGGATGGTGAATAATTGTTGCAATGGAGACTGGTTACGCCGTGCGGGGCGCATGAGTTACTACACCGTTTTACGTGCTGACGATGGGATTTTAGGGTTGCAGAACGGTGAGGCAGGGTACTGCAAGGTGCCTGCTCTACCAGACAGAATGACCTTGGTGGATAGATGTGTTAGGCTTGTTCATATGTCAGGAATGTGATACCTAGCTGATTTGCCTGCAATCTCAAAGAGTACATGGGTTTTTCATCTCAAATTGCAACCACTACCTATCAACAGCTCCACTCCACTCCATTGCAGAGCGCATGGGAAAATACTCCTAGCAACAGTATCACCAACCAAGCATGGCAGCTGGTGGGAACCAGCAAGACTTCTGCCTGGCTTTACCTTGGCAGATCTTGGGGATGATTTGCGGGTCAGGTGGTGCTGTTGATGGTACTGCTGCTGCTGCTGTTGCTGGGTGGCGACGCTGCTGCTGGTGTTGATGGGTGGCGTTGTCTCGGATGCAGCCTGCGTCCTGCACCATCACTACCGTTGCAGCTGCGTCCTGCACCATCACTACCGTTGCAGCTGCGTGTGGGACTGAGCCTGCCAATGCTCATAGTGATGTTGATGGTGGTGATGGTGTTGCGTCACCAATCTCGCCCCCCGTCTGCCGCCGCTGTACCGTATTAGAGAGCGAATGATGGAAGTGCCTGTGGCCCCATCAGGCAACACAGATGCTGCCTTTGGCTCCGCACTGCTCGCTAGAGGATGATTCTTGAGACACACGCACGCAAAAATAAGCCAAGGCTGGGTGTGGTAGCTCCGGTAAGCACAGGCACCTGTCCAGTCAGTACCCTCATGTTGCTTCTTGCCAAGATCATCTTATTATACTCATGGTGAATGGGTATACAGAATTGCATAGCAGCTGGTAAATGATGCAGTACCAAAATGTTATCAACACCAAAACACTGGTAGCTAGGTACAAACAGGCTATACAATAACTCCATGCATCAAAACTTGTACCGCAGAATCTAGCTGACCTGCTCCTGGCCAATCAAATGCAGCCACACGCCAGACCAGGAACCCAGAGTGTCGTTTCTGTAGCTGCCAAGTCAACCAAGTCACGCCACATGCAGCCACCTGCCAGACCACCAGGCAGCTGAGGGAGTCAAATGACATGTGGCAAACCCTAGCAGCCACACTCACAGAAAATGGAGCGGTGAAGGCAGGCACTGAGAGTGTCGCACAAGCAACAGAATTCACCCACTTGAGTGCTGGGTTGTGGAAAGTGAAGGGGGGCTGTGAGAGATGAGGGAAATTGAGGGGGCGGTGGTAGGAGAGGGGAGGGAGTTGAAGGGTGGATGGGGAGGGGGGGGGAGGAGGAGGGGTGGGGGGAGGACGATGCATCACCAGGGGGGAAGTTGAGGTATGGGAGGGGAAGGGGATGAGGGGTGAGTCTGAACGCGGGGGAACGGAGGAGGATGGGGAGAGAGGGGGACGGAGTGAGACAAGGGGAGATGAGGGTGCGCGTGAAGGAAGAAAACAATAGAGCGCAGGCAGTGACATGAAAGGGGGGGCTGGTTGGCTGAAGGGAGAAAGGGGGGAAATGACAGGAGCGCAGGGAGATGAGGGGGGAGGGGGAGAGCGGGGGGGGGGGGGGGAGAGCGGGGAGAGAGGGGGAGCGGGGGAGAGAAGAGGGGAAGAGCGGGGGAATGAGGGGAAAGCGAGGAAGTTGAGGGGGGAGTGGGGAGGATGAGGGGAGAGCAGGGGAGAGCGAGGAGATGAGGGGAGCGCGGGGAGAAGAGGGAAGAGCGGGGGAATGAGGGGAAAGCGAGGAAGATGAGGGGAGAGTGGGGGAGGATGAGGGGAGAGCAGAGAGGATGAGCGATTTGAGAAGCTGAGAGATGCGTGACGTTTCTAGGCCTACCAAGGGAGAAAAGGGAGTGGGGGAAGCGGAGAGATGAATGACGTTTCCAGACTAGGTCATAGGGTGAAAGTGTAAGAGAAGGGGAAGCGGGGGAAGCGGGAGGGTGGGGAAGGGGGGGAGGGGGGAAGAGAGGAATCAAGGGGGAAGGGGGCTGATTCGCCTCGACCTTTCGGCGCTCCTTTCCGTCATCAAATGTTCATTCT